GCTTTTGTCCTCACTGTCTCTCTTAGCATTGAATGTAGCTGAGGAGGTCCCAGCACCTGAGTGCTCAGGGATTTCATCCAGGATCATGCTGTGTCAGGAATATACTGGCCTTGGTACTGGGCAGCTGGAGTGGGTCACAGTTTCTCTATTCCCAGTGCGGGTTCCCGGGGACAGGAAGAGGGTGATCACGATGTCCCAGGTGGGAGCCTGGTCTGTGTGGAGAACCTGGCAGACACTGGTTCCTCTCACAGACCTTGGCCTTGCTTCACATACGCCCCCACCCAGGAACATACATAGACTTTTCCTTGGGGGTGGGAATGAATTAATTCACACAATTATGGAATAATTAAAGTACTTTCTGCCAATTCAAGCCTTGAGAAAAGTCCAAAAATAACTCCTTGATTTAAATATTATTTACTAAATTAATTCTTTGCTCAGCCTTTTTATAAAGTCCTGTTTTTTTCCCTTTTCCCTACTGTTAGAGAATAAAGGTGCTGAGTAATTAGTAAAATCATTTATGAGTAGCACGTTTCTTTTTACAAGGAATAATTGGTGGCTTTTGGTAAATGGCACTTTCCTGTGCCATTGGTTAGCAGCCTGGATTGGGGAAGCCATCGAGGGCCTATAGAGGCCCTTTTCTCTAGACACCTTACTGGACACAGAAGTGAGCTCCAGGAAGTGCTCCTCTGGAGCATAGAGGCTGGTGGTCAGACCTTTGTGTGGCTGTTCTCTGGAGTCAGGTCACCTGACTGATAATGTCACTGATTACTAAATTTGTGATCAGGCTTCTTTATGCCTTTGTGTCTCCCTTCCTTTAGCCGTTTCCTGCAGAGAATAGCTGAGTGGCTGGGGCAAGGCTTGCCACATGGTGGGCACTCTAAAAAGGTGCTGTTCCCTGCCTTCATGCGGATGCCATCATTATAGGACAAGGACAGCCTCAGGGACATACATAGTGGTTGGTTCCTCAGCAGGACCTGTAGCCAGAGTAATATGGAAGTGGTAGGAGAGGGACTCGGAGATCTCCACCTTGCTCATGAGATGTTCCTAGCCCAGGGACAGCCTTTACTTTTCCAGGACCACAGTGCCTGTGTGAATAGGAGGCTGCCCTTTGGATAGACTGATTCCCTTGGAGGCTGTTCAACCCAGTTTTACAGGGTATAAGTGCCAGAGGTTCGAACCAGTGACCCCTGGCGAGGTGAGGATTGGGGATGAGTAAGCATGCCGTTTGCCAGCCCACGCTGCTCCCATTACCCGGGGACACTCAGACACAACGGGGAGCCTAGTGAAGCTGGGACTCATTTATTGCAAGTGTTCCAAAGCTTATAAAGGCACCTGGAACTGCCCCCTCCCCCCTGAAAGGATGGTCACGCGCTGATCATGCACTCCTCAGCAGTGCGGAAGTATTCTTCAGACTTTCAAAGCAAGCCAGGCCGTGCCCCCAGTAACTTCCTTTCTGACCTATGCAAGGTGGGGCTTTTAGGTCCCCACATATAAGAAAATTCATCCAGAGCTTAGAAATAGGGCCATGAGAGTTCGGCGTGCTCTTTCAAAGTTGTTCTTGGGCATCCTTCAACAGCACCTTCCCCAACCCCCTCCCCTACCCCCCTGTACTATTTTTTTAATATCTAGGGAAATGTACTTTTTGTTTGATTTTTGTTATGGACAATTAATTAAGGGCTCAGACTGAAGTCATACATCAACTTGTAGCTCTTATCCAGTTGAAATGCAAATAATTCTGCCCAGTAGAAAAGATAACCTTAAGGGTTGCTTTAAAAAAAAAATACCCATAGGACAGTAACTCCTTTAAATTTCATCCAGGAATTCTAGTTTCTTATAGTTTTCTGGAACCAGGGTTACCATCTTACCTGTTCCTTACCAATGAGTTAAACAACTTTTGATACCTATTCATTCTTTCTGTGTGTGTGAGCTGTGCTTTTAGCATTGACAGTTATACTGTGACACTTTGGTCACAGCATGTATTTTTCTTAGAACTAAAATAATACATAACACTAAAAACCAAAGCAATGACATCTGTGTCTCTAAAACTGAGTAAAGCCTGGGTGATGCACTTGACCTTGAGTCTAGAGGTTGTCCAGTAAGGAAGCTGAGCAGATAGTGTTAGTCCCACTTAACTGCTAATGGAGACTGACGAGTGGGGTGTTTTTTTCCCTCAGACCATCCGAGCCCACAGCAGCAGCACCAAGATACAGGCCCAGTGCTGAGCTGCTGGCATCAGCTGGCTCCTACTCCTGCTCTGCCTTTTGTACCTGTCGGTCCCGGTGACATCCTGTTGAACTGAGCATTGAGAGTGGTTCCCAAGTAGGAAGACTTCCAAGTAGCAGTTGATTGGAGGTGTTGAATCAACAACAGCAGATCATTGGAGGTGTGTGCGTGCGTGCGTGCGTGCGTGCGTGCGTGCGTGTGTGTACTCTGTTGACTCCATTTGTGTGTCTGTGGCAGTAGTTGGCAGCATCCTTAACCTGCTCCATACAGGACTAGTCCTCAGGGATAGGAGCTCCCCCATTCTGGTCCTTATGTCCCTGGGGACCATCTTTCAGTGTAGTAATAAGGGGTCCAGAGTGATTAGCAATATTTCAGAAAGCTTAAGGGAAATCATACATCTCCCTGTGACAGGTTTGCCCAGACTAAATGAAATGTCAGTTCTCCAAGTTTCAGCTAGAATTCCGTCAGCTCAGTCTGACTGCACTGCTTATCTTGGGCTGATCTGGATCCCTGATTGGACCTTATTATATGCATCCTTGACAAATAAAAATGAATGATTACTTAATAAATGGAATCGGTTTGTCAGATATGGCCTTTTGAAGCATGGCTCCAGGGAGCTCCCAGGAGCCTAACAAAAGGGGTTCTTGGTGGCCTAGAGGTGGGGGCCTGGGGCTCACTAGGGTCTAGCTTTGCCGAGCCCCATCTCCCTAGGAAACAGAAGACAGTGGCCCTGAGACCTCTGCCATGTCAACATGAGTCAGAACTTGACTGGGTCAAAGTCCTGATCCTAATGAGAATGGACAGAGTCCCAGTGTTTCACCTGAGGCAAGTCAGTGCTGGTGTTGTAGCATGGTGCCTTTAGCATCTTGATCTCTAAAAAGGTGCAATGACACCTCACCTGTCTACCTTCTAGGCCTGTTTCTAGGAACAAGAGACGACTACCACAGGGCCATCCAGGAGAGCTTACCAGGTTCCAAGCCTGACATGCTCATTCACCTCTGTAGCCACCCTTGAGGGTTAATATTTCTGTTATCCTGAAGCCAGTCATATAAGCAGCTGGTTCAAGGTCTTAGAAGTAGGCATGAGTCATCTAGAAGGGTATTGCTAAGGAGTAGAGTATTAGTAAGGATGAGTATTAGTAAGGATGCTAGCTGTTGTTCTAAAGTAGGGTTATTCCTTTTTTCTTTTCGAGACAGTGTCTTGCTCTGTGACCCAGGCTGGCCTTGAACTTGTAACCCTGCTGTCTCAGGCTTCTGAGTGCTAAATACAGGTCTGAGCCACCATGCATGACCTAGAGGGGTCATTCTTGATCATTTAATTTGGTGCTGATTATAATTGATTGGATTTCAGAGGAGATTGATGGGGTTAGGATAAATATTAGAGGTGGGAACCACAGCATCTCAGAAAACCACAGAGCGCTCACTCACTCTTATATTCATGCATTTGGTGCTGTTACTAGCAAGTACATGTATAATAGAGCCAGTCTATAACACATAAATTATACCTCAATAAAGTGATTTAACAAAACAGAGCCAGTCCCTGCTGCCTTGGGAGTTTACGATAGTGAACTAGATGGTCATTAATCAAATAATCACACTAGTAATTGCTAGTGCTGTGAAAGAAAAGTCCAGCATGTTCCAGGAGTGTATGGTGACAGCATTCTTCCATCCCTGGATAGGAAAGAAGAGGGCCTGGACCTAGTGATGGGGAGATGGCAAGGGAGCTTCTGGCAGCAGGAATAGCATGCACAAAGGCCCTGAGGTAGGAAAGCACAGGGATCACTGGAGGAGAGAAAGCGAACATGGCTGGAGTATCAGTGTAGTGTAAGGTGAGACTGGGGAGACAGGCAGGACTGGTCACACAGGGCTTGTAGGCTAAGGAAGGATCTTAATCTTGTGCTCCCCATCTGTGAGCCCCAGCTCCTCTTCATTGACTGGGATATATTTATTAATGACTATGAAGTTCAGCCAAGGCTGAAAGGAATGCCAAGGACAGTTGGTGTCCTGGGGTATCTGTCTTCTGTCTTTGTCCCCTGGACACCCATCAGCAGATCATCTGGGGGCCCAAGTCTGGTTCTATTCAGCAGCTGCTCCCTAGCTGGGAAAAGGCTTTTAGCTTTAATAAAAAAAGGAGTAGAGATAAGAAAACTGCCTTGGCAGGGCGAGCGGCAGTGACAGGATGATTTAAATGGCCTCTCCGGTGTCGTTTCTTCTGTGCAGACATCATAAATCAGATTAGTATTGGACTCTGGGGGTGGGGAGAAGGGAGCAGGGTCTGGACTCAGGTCTACCTGGCACTGGCCTGGCAACAGTGCAGCCCCAGTGAAGGGTCATAGTGTCATCTGTTCCTGACCTAGCCCTGTTCTTTGCAGGAGTGGATGGGACTGTTCCCTCAACCCATTCTCAGCTTTGGGAAAGAAGGAAGAGGGGCTGATCAGAGTAAGGAGGAGAGGAATGAGGCACGTGGGCAGAAGAGTGACAGCTGTCAGGGAAAGGAGAACAGCCATCTCCTTACTGTGCACTGAAATAACCTTGGGAACTCAGAAGATACTGGAGGCTAGAGCCATCCACAATGTCTGAGTTCCAGGTGGTTCCAACATGTGGTGGAAGTGAAGCACTGGGTCTGAGTTGAGATGCCTTAGATGCAGGAATTGTATCATCTCAGACTGCTTAGGGCCACCAGTGCCTGGGATCTCCTCGACCAGATTAGGGAACCAGAGACGTTCCTGAATCAAGTGTGGGCAGTGCAGAGTTCTCACTGCCTCCCTTCTCTTTCAGATCTCCTGCCACTTGGGCAAGATGTACAGTGAGATGATCTTTGTCAATGGCTTTGTGCACTGCGACCCCCACCCAGGCAACGTGCTGGTGCGGAAGCATCCAGACACAGGCAAGGCTGAGATAGTCCTATTGGACCATGGACTCTACCAGGTAGGCGAAGACTCTGCTCCTACCTGGGCTTAGAGGCTGCTGATGTTCTGCTGAAGCCTGAAGCTGGGCAACAGCTGCAGAGGGTGCATCTGCTCCTAGAGCTGTCATTTTGTGCATACCACTGTCTTGAGAGTTTTTTGAACTTTAGCTTCCCTACAACAAATGAGGTTGCTCATGCCTTGTTTACTGCTGTTGTGAGGGGCAGATGGGAACATGTCTGTGTCTGAGCCCTCCCCAGGGAACTTTGAGCCAGCTCAGACCTGTGCTGTATGTGAACTGGGACTTCAGGGAGTTGGGTGACTGTGCTTTCAGCCCCAGTGAAGAAAATGGAGTGTGGAATTGCAGGGGCTAGAAGCCCCAGATGCGGTCCTTTGGCAGTCAGGATGAACTAGTGTGAGTGAGCCATGCCCACCACCTGCAGGCTGGGAAGTTCACTGGGTGGGAAGTATGCTGTCAACTTGGGGCCCTGGCCTGACTTGATTCCATAAGGCAAATGGTCCTGAAGAGGTTCCCCAGTGGCTTCTGCTCTTTCCTTAGGTCCTGATGCTGCATCCCCAAATCTCAGCCTCCTCTGAAAGGCTTGGTAAAGTAAGGAACAGGTTAGGCCAGCTCTTGTCCCATGGAGCCCCAGTGACAGATGGCCCAGACATGACGGCAGTTCAGTAGCTTGCTCCCATGCCAGTCTTGGGTATGGTGGGTGGAGTCTGCAGGCCTCTGCTTCCTAAGCCTCATAGGAAGTGACAGCCAACAGCAGAGGAGAGGGCTTGGAGGAGATGTGTGGGCAAGCTTTGTGGGGGTGGGGAAAGGGAGTATCTTTTCCCCATCCCAATAGCCAGTGTTTAGGTAGAAAACTGCATCTGCCTTTGTGGGAAGCCAGCAAAGTAGTCTGTACCTAGAAAGAAGATGAGAATATTGATTTTGGAGGGCAGATAGCAGTTGCTGCCACTTAGGGCTAAGGTTTGCCAATATAGGTTGAGTATCCGTAATCTAAAAGTCTGCAGTCCACATGCTTCTGGGTTTAAAGCTTTTGGCACCAGGATATCACAAGTAGAACAATTCCATGCTATGAATTTTGTGTACAAAATTGTTAAACATTATAATTAAACTACCTTTAGGCTATGTGTTGAAAGTGTGCATAAAACAAATGCATTTCATGTTTAGACCTATGTCCTAGCCCCCAAGATATTATGTATCTGCAAATATGAAAAAAAATCTGAAATCTAGAACACTTCTGGTTACTAGAATTTCAGATTAAGGATAGGCTCTGTTAGCTGTGAACTTGAGCTTCTAGGCATGGCTGAACACTGGGGGAGCCAGTCCTCCTGGTTTTTTCTCATCCCTCTGTGCAGGGGTCAGCATTAGCCTGGGGCTCAGGTCAGGTCTTGGCCTAGAGAGGAGACTCAGTTGCTGCCCGTGCTGCCCTGGCTGCAGGTGCTCACGGAGGAGTTCCGCCTGGACTACTGCCGCCTGTGGCAGTCTCTGATCTGGACGGACATGGAGAGGGTGAAGCAGTACAGCCAGCGCCTGGGGGCTGCGGAACTCTACCCACTGTTTGCCTGTATGCTGACAGCCCGGTCATGGGATTCAGTCAAGAGGGGCATTGGCCAAGCTCCAGTCACTGCCTCTGAGGTAGGTCGCTTCCTCCCAAATTCAGGGACCAGGGCCTGGGTGCCTCTTCCAGCCTAGAGTCTGAGGTCCATGATCAGTGGGCTTTATGTCTCTGTGGGGAGGGTCTCATTGGAGCTACATTGGATGAGGAGTAGGGAGGGGAGTACAGACTGGTCTCTCCTGGAGGAGGGAAGAGGACCAATATCCCATTTTGTCCCCTGGAACCTTATCCTCATGGAGTAGAGATAAGGCATGTGGACATAGTAAGCCAGACCTCAGTAGCTTAGTGAGATGCCAAGCTTCCTCAAGTACCATCTCACTCCTGCAGCTCCAGCACTCTACTGTTCTGTGCTTGGCACTGTTCCCCCAGGTCCTCTCTGGCTTTGTGATGGCGAGAGCCTTCACTTCCTGTCCACCTCAAACAGCGCCATTGGACCCTTTGTCCTGCAGACTTCTTAGTGAAGCAGCTTCTTTTCTTTACTTGTTGCTGTTTCCTCGTTGGACTTGGGCTGTCTAGATGGGACACAGATCATGAGAGCACCTGCTCTGCACACTTGTGTCCACTTCTGTTTCCCTGCTGATGCTCACAGGGGTGATCCCGTGCCTCCTGGCTGAGGTGGGCTCCCTTCTATGACGCTTCTCTGTCCTACATAGGGCCGACCTGTCTCTGCTCTTGGGCCCATGCCCATCCACACTTGCTTCTGCACAACTCCCCTCCAAGGGGATAAGATATAGTTTATTCTGGAGCCAAATATGAGTGACCATGGTCCAGGAACAGAGATTCAGGTTACCCCAAATTCCATGTTCTGATGTGGAAGAAGTTTCATGAAGTTTTTATAGTAACAGAACAAAGAAAAGTCATAAATCAAGATACTTAGGCGGTTACAATGAAAGGGAAATCTCAGGTACAGGCCTCAGATGCCATCTGGTGACACTCAGCCTTTAAATTAATACATTCCAAAATGTTTTTATCTGTTAGCCACAAGACATTAAGTCAGAAACAAAGGTGTGGACAAGCAGTGGCTATTTAGGGGGCTAGAGATGGCCCAAGATAAATGGTAATTAGGCTCTGAACTTGCAACATTCCACACTGTCCACAATCACTACGTTCTAATCAGCTGATCAGCCTTTGCAGAAGGTTGAGTTTCAAGATGCAGTTTTTCTGAGAACTTTGGTTCATGCTTTTCTGAGTGGTGAGCAGACTCAGGCCTCTGCTCACTGCAGGGGACAAGATCCGACTCGTGCTGTTGGAAAGCCTGGGCACTACTTCCAGCATCTCCTCTACCTAGTCCCATGACCCTGGCTGTTCTTATCATCCCTTTGGGCCTTCGGGGCTCCTCCTGCAGTATGCTTTGTGGTGAGCAGCTTTAGTAATGGCTGGGTTTAGAGTCTTAATGTCGTAGAGTTGTCTCTCACCAACTCTTGGCTCCACTTTCTTCCAAGTGGACATTCTTCTGCAGCAGGCTTGGTGGCAGTCACGATCACCTGCTGTTCCAGGATCTGCAGCTTTGAAGCTCATCTTAGAACAGTGGTATTCTTTTTATAAGGTAGGGATGGTCAGGGTGATGCTTTCTGTTTTACTGTCCATGCATGTAAAGTGCCTACCCACAGTTCCTGAAGTTGATTCATTCAATAAATATTTGCTTTTGCTGGCCGAGTGTGTTGCAGAGGATCTGTGACTGATAAACAGACAGGCCTTTTGTGTAATTTACACTTTACTTGGAGAAGACAGACAGTAAACGAGTAAACAAACAGGCAAGTGGGATAATTGCAGGTTACAGGTACTGTGGCGGAAATAAATAAAGTAGTGTTGGGAAGGGGTGGGCACTGCGAGACCTCAGAGATGGGCTGACATTTGAGTTGAGGTGTGAGAACAAGAACAGCCTCAGCCCCAGGGGAGCCTGAAGGATGCTTTCCCAGCATACTGAGGCCCAGGGCAAAAGAGTTTGGTGTGGTCTGGAGGGTGGCAGAAGAAGACTTTGTGCTGGGGTACAGAGAGCGCCCCACAGGGCTTTACATGCTATGGAAAGAGGTTTGGACTCATCTCCCAGGATGAAGTAAGGCCCTTGGTAGGTTTTCAACAGGAGGAGATGCTGTTGTTTTCAGGTGTTTCTCTGGAGTGGGGTGCAGTAAACTGTGGGGTGATTGTCTAGGAGAGATGATGGAGAGAAGCAGATAGAACCAAGGTGTGCTTTGGAGGTGGCACTGAGGAGGCTTCTGTAGGATTGAGTACGAAGGAGGGAGAAAATTGTATTCTAGTTTTTGGAATAAGTTCTGGGGTACGTGATGACCCAGGGAGGGTTGTGGGGAGGGCATATTATTAGGGGGGAGGCTGCTCAGCAGGTTTCCTGAACAGATAAGTATGTCCTGGGAAACTAAGATTAGAGCTCAAAGAAGAGGTCCAGGCTGGGGATATGCAGTTTTGAGTTTTGAGCATATGAATGGCTCAGAGCCACTGAGCTGTATGAGGTGACAGGGCATATGATAGGTATGCAGTGAACAATCCTGTGTTTATTTACTGAGGTGGAATTTTGGCTTTGCATCCTGACTCATTCCTAATGAGCCAGTTACAATGTCAGTCCTCTGAAGAAGTGTCTTCTCTCCTCCAGAAAGCCTTTTCTTGTCTCCCTTGCCAAAAGTCATCCCTTAGTATTTTAGATCACTTTTGGGGAGTACATTGTCATCTCTAGCAGAGCAGTTCTTTGCACATTATAGCTCTGAGCTGCGTAGTGAGCACCTGGAGCCAGGGACCCTGTCCTGCACATCTTTGTATAGGGTCCCTGCAGCCCTGGGCTGATCTGGAGGATGGGCATTTATAAAGATTTAGGGGACACTGACTGCATCTGCTCATCTGAATACAGATGGAGGATGACTTGGGACATTGCAGGCCAGGTCAGCCTCAGGTCAAAAGACAGTGTCCTTCTCCTATCCAGAATCAAGCAAATCCTCAACAGTGTCAGGAAAGAGATCTTCCCTAACTCACTGTGACCCAAACAATAAGGAGTTTGTCTTTGATGACATGAGGCCTAGGGGGTGGTAGGTCCAGATTCAGCAGATCACTGGCTTAGGGATCTGGGCTCACTCCTGATACCTTTGACTTTCTTGTTGAGATTCCAGGATGACAGTTCCAAACCTGTGTCAGAGACCATCAGAGGCAGGAATTGAGGACATTTTCTCTCATTTAGAGCAAGAAACCTTTTCCAGAAGCCCCCCAACAGATGCATCCTCACCTTTCTTTTGCCATAATTATGTCATATGTCCCTGCCCAAGCCAGTCACAAGGGGATAAGTGCTTAGAGCTATCACTAAGAGTTATGAGATTCCTCAGGGGCATAGCGAGGAGTTCCAGGGTCCTGAAGAGCATGATCCAAAGTGACAGATGACCCAGAGGGACAGACTTAACAAAGGAGAGTAGTAGAGTAGGGATTGACTATTGGGCAGGCATCTGCCATCGGGACAGACAGCAGGAAGTGTGGTCAGTAGGTGGATCTGGTGTGGTGCAGGGGTGGGGTGGGACTTGGAAGTTTGGCCTATGGACTATAGAGCTAGACTTGGTTAGTGGACATGATTCAGCTGGGATTAGCTGCTTGGGCTCCTTCTAGGCCTGGCTTAAAATTGGTGGCCAGGAAAGAAGACTTGGAGAGTCCATGGCTCCCCTGAGTTCACACTGATGCTGCTTCCAGGGTCTGCCTAGGAGCTAGGCTGGAACCTCCCACTTGGGCGGTCAGGCCACAGGGCCCTGATACTTGTCTTTGGTGAGTGCACCTCATGGTGCCAAGGCGGCTATGCTAGAAACTCTCGCCTAGAGCTCAGTTACGTTCTTTGGTCACAGGCTGCCCACACTCTTGGCACCCTGATCTTCATTTGCCACACCAACAGTTCTCATGTCTCCTTGCTGATGCCCAGGACTCAGAGATCCGCAGCAATGCGGCCAGCTACCTGCCTGAGATCAGTCAGCTCCTCAACCACGTGCCTCGCCAGATGCTGCTCATCCTGAAGACGAATGACCTCCTGCGCAGCATCGAGGCCACCCTGGGTACTCGTGCCAGTGCCAGCTCCTTCCTCAACATGTCCCGGTGCTGCATCAGGGCACTGGCTGAGTGAGTGTGCTCCTATCTTGGCCCCCTCCCAGTTCCAGGGTCTGCCCCATGGGTTCTGCTTGGTCTCCACTTTCCCCACTGGTCTATGGGTTCCTACCCAGGTTTCTCAAATTTCAGATCTCCCTGAAGGGAACATTAGCAAAACTAGCTGCAGTGAGCTGGCAGGTGCCTTGAGGTAGTGCCTTTGGGTGGCTTCAACTGCTCATACTTTGCTAAATGGTGGGATCTAGGACTGCCTCCTCCCAGTCTAGCTTTCCAGGTGGTTCTTTCCTTCACTAAAATTTGAAGTGGTTTATGAGCATCTCAGCTCATCCAGTTGTGTCCTGGACTTGTGGTCAGGAATCCCCCACCTGACCCTATCTATCTCTGATTGACCCTGGGACTTGACTCCTAGGATTAACCAGGTAGTGAGGCCAGTGCTTATTATCTTGGAGATATGATTGTGATAGGGAAAGTTAGGAGGCTTTCTCAAGACCACAGAGCCTTCTAGATGTCTTAGCACCCTTGAGATACTGTTGATAAAGAGAAGCTTGCTTCTGCAGGGAGTGTCTTAAGGAACAAGGGCTCTAGGCCTCCAACTGAATACGGTAAATAGATTAGACAGGCTGTGATCTGGCAGAATGCTTTTTCCCCAGAGAGGAGGCCTGGCTTGTGGTAACACCCAGCCTTTCCATCCTAGGGAGCTAGCAGATTTGACCACATAGGTCATGTATCCACTACCACATACAAGATTAGATTAGAGTAAAATATGCTGACCACTGAAGGGTGGAGTGTAGTTTATTCTTCCTTTGAGGGCTGAAGAAGTCAAGTTTTGAGTAGTGGAAGTTCTTGGATTGGGGGTTCAAGGGGAACCCTTGGGGTTCTTCTGAGGAAAATTGTCTTTTGGGTAAGAGATTTATTAGAAGAGTTATTAACAACATGGACAGACAGACATACAGCAGCATGTGGGGGCGGTTCTGAAGAGATAGGAGGCCCATGTGGCAGAGTATGGGTCCTTTATAGGTTTCAGAGGAAGGGTGAGAATTCATATTACGCTGGCCTATCCTAGGCTATCCCCAATTCTCAGGTGGCAGGGAAAGGGGAGGGGGTCCTTCATTTCTGGGAAGGGATATGTGAGCCTGAGGATTATGGGGGAGAAGGAGCACATTTAGTAAAGGTGAACCTGTTATATGATAAAGGATGTGCCCTCTGATGTCTTGGAAACTGGTAGCCTGAGCCTGTAAACTTCCTTGGGGAAATGAGACTTCTGGAGCTTGCTAACCTGGAATCCAGGCACCTGGGGGAGTCTATTAGGGGTTATAGATTCCCAGACAGGTTCCCGGTAGGAGCTTGCCATTTCCTTACAACAGCTGTGGGAAAGAGGTTTCTGTGGCTTGATCAGCCGCTAGCCCTAAACCTAACAGGCAGGGCATTATCATAAATGCCAACTTTTATCTTGTTTTATTTTTGGTATAGAGGAACTGAACTGGACTGACCTGTGAAGTCCCCAAGTCCCCCAGGTGTCTTGACACCTAGAAGATTCTTAGCCTCAGGAAGTGTGCAGAAGCTTTGGCTATATTAGAGTTGTGGGGAGATGGGATTCTAGGTTGGCATTTATTTACCTCAGAATGTTCTACCAGGTCAGAGTGTCAGAGCCTTGATACCATGCGATTTCAGTGCTTTGAAAAATCTCCTTAGGGATATTTGAGTCCCCCCAACTCCTGACTTTGAAATGGTCTGGTCAGGTAACCAAGTGGTTCTCAAGATCAAGGAGCTGGTGAGTTGACCAGAGCCACCCATCATCTTTGATTTTTCTTCATGGTACTGAGCTGGTGTGTCTCACCTGTTTCTTTCTTCCCTCCTCCTTTCTCGACCCTCCTCCAGGCATAGGAAGAGGAGTACCTGCTCATTTTTCAGAAGGACCCAGATATCTTTCGGCGAGGCCATTAGCCTATGGCAGATCAACCTTTATGAATTCCTGCTGCGGGTGAAGGGCTTGAGGCTGGCCTGCTGGGTCTCCACCCTGCTGTGTTGGCTGACTCGGGTTTCATACTGAGTGTGGCTTTCATTCCTTCCCCTTTCCTGGTATCTTTTTATACCCCATTCTTTCCTGACTCAACCCCCTTACCCGTGTCTGTGCCAAGGTGACATGTGGCCCCACGGTGGTCATCTGTGGTACCATCATGCTCTGCCTTTGGAATACCCCCTACTGAAGCCCTGCCTCAGGGCCCTTGGACTGTGCCGGGGAGTGGGTTTCTCTCCTCCAGGGAGGGAACGTAGCAGCTCCTTCTCCACTCCTGTATGTGCTGTTGGCTTGGCCATTGCCATGTCTGTGAACCATTCTATTGTCAGGATGTACCACATGTGCCAAGGGGCACATTTAACTTGTAGGAAATAAGTGGGGTCTTGGAACTGCTAGAGAGCAGGCACCATGTCCTTACCACATCACTCTTGGAGGTATCCCTTCTCAGTGAGGCAGGCTGCATCTGAGGGCAGGCCATATGGCTGTGGGTTCACGAGGTCATGGTGACCCCTTCAGTGTTGTGTATTGCGTTTCAATAAGCACCTTCAAGGTTGAAGGGACTGTCTCTTCTCACTCACTGGCCCCATTCAGACTCCAGGGATTTTTAGTTACCCTTCATAGCTGCTTCCCTGGGAAACTCCCAGGTTTCCTAGGAAGGTCTAGGAGAGCAAAGTTGGGCTTGGTTGAGGGATTTCTTTACTAAGTTGGGAGCAAATCCACATGGCCAGTGGTAGACCTGAACACTGTGTGTGCTGGGACCTTGCTTGATGTCTTTCCCCTGTGATCCATGGGGAAACTTCCCTGGGAAACTCCCAGGTTTCCTAGGAAGGTCTAGGAGAGCAAAGTTGGGCTTGGTTGAGGGATTTCTTTACTAAGTTGGGAGCAAATCCACATGGCCAGTGGTAGACCTGAACACTGTGTGTGCTGGGACCTTGCTTGATGTCTTTCCCCTGTGATCCATGCAGGCTGTAAGACTCCTACTACAGGGCCATGTCTTGCTCCTTGGAGACTTCTCCTGCCTTCCAAGTCCCAGATTTGATTGGCGGTGTCAAGAAGCACAAAGCTGGCAACAAGAGGCTGAGGCAGTACACCAGGCTCTGTTTCCCTGGGCTCCCACTTGTTTCCCATGACAGGAGCACTTGCCTTGTTCTACAAGTTGGGTCCTGATTTGCCCTCTGGTTCTCAGTCAGTGAATGATATTCAGGTCTGGGATCACACCTGGTCCTCCCCAGCCTTTGGAGACAAGTCAGTCTTCTTGCTGAAATCAGTCACCACGGCTCTGCCCATTTTGACACCTCCACATCATCTGTTTCTACTCTATCGTACCCTGTGTCAGCACTCACCTCCCCCAATTCCATCCTCTGCTCCTATGTCGTATGGTCTCTGTGTCTGTGAGGCCCCAGACTTGGCAGGTCCTAGCTCCATGGTCACCTGTGCTCACAATAGTAGCCACATTCGAGTCTCTGATCTTACCCCACACCATTCATAGCAGCAGACCCTCCAGAGCTGAGCCTCATTCTCTGTTCTCTTTGTTCATGATTCAACAAGCAGATTTTCTACTGATCAGAGACCATTTGCGTTCCTTTATTTCCTGAAAGAATTAATTGTTCTTAGTGACCAGTTGGATGTACTCAGGGACCTGGGAGAATAATTTACAAGCACTGTTATTAATCATGAGGATACATGCTGCATATTCTATTTTGTATCTTTTACAGCCACTGAAGTAGATATAAACATCCTTTCTGCTCAAGGTAATAGTTACTTGCTTTTTACCTTTGGTGTAATAGTTAGATTCCTCTGACTGGGATTTAAAACATGACCATGTTCCCTGTAGTCCTGTACCCAGAACAGTTTCCAGGGAAAGGAAAGGGGCGAGCAGAGTCTGGGGGTGCAGAGCAGTTTGAAAATTGAGGAGTAGGTTGATGTTTATTAGTGACTTCTGTGGGCGAGAGGCCAAACGAGGCTCTGTAAATATGTTATACTGTTGAATTGTCCCATCAGCTCTGAGGAAAGGGGTCATTAGCTTCATATCACATAGCTCAGAGAGGTTTAGTACTTGGCCTGTGGTCACACAGCTGCTGAGTGATAGCCATGCTTGGCTTTGATTCTACAGTGCCATAGATGAGGATTATACTTGCCACTTGTGTGACTGAGCTGTGTGCCTCTAAGATCTGTACCCAGTGCATGGCTCTTCTGGCCTTCTGTTGGCGCTCCATAAGTATGCAGGTACTGGGAGTCTTGGAGTACTTTGTGGTTTTCAGGAATATTGAAATCTGTTTGAAAAGCTGCACATGCGCTCATCCCCTCATAGGAGGTACCCCTTGGATGGCCAGGTTAATTTCATGAATGTTTCTTGTCCACAGCAGGATCATAGATGGTCTGCCTCGGCATTGCATCCCCTAGGGGCCTTCCTACTACTGTGCAGAACTCTGATCCCAGAAAACCAGAGCTGCTCTAAGAAGCCTCCAAGCTAATCCTGAGCAGTCAGGCTTGTGGGAGGTTTGCTGCAGTCCTCGTGTGGGCCAAGGTGGGAAGTGTAATGGGGGAGGGTAGTGGTCAGGAGCAGGACCTGGGCTCTGAGCGGAGGCTGGGGACTTGCAAGGTGGGATGAACAAAACCAGAGTGGCACATTCCTGGCAGGGGGAGCATGGGGTGCATGCAATGTGGGAGGGCCTGTATTAAACCAGGCCTTGAACACCAGGTAACCTGGTACTGCTGCTTCCACAGTGTGGCAAAGAACCATTTGCTCAGCAGGCTTCTTACCCACCCCCTTTTCTCCTTTCCTCTTCCTGTTCTTCCTTTCCCCTTTCCTTACCCTTTGCTCCACCCTGTCAAACCTACACGATCTTGACTGAGACCTGAGAAGAGTTTGTGGGGAGCCCTGGGAAGAGTCCATGGGAAGCCCTGGGCTGTCATGTCTGTTTTCCAAGGTCACTGCCTTCCAGTCAGGCCTGGCTGCTCCTGGAGATGCCATGGCAACCCAATACCAACCTGTTCCCCCTCTGTACCAGATTGCCATGTTATTGGCCAGCACCACAGGGATCATGAGGCACTTCCGCACTGCTCTGCCTGTGACTTCCTCGGCTTAGAACTCTGACTTTTCTTCCCAGTTTTCTCTTTCCTGGGCATAAGAGAAAGGATCAGGTTCTTGAGAGCAGTACAGTGGTTGGTATCCGGTCTCTCTGGCTCTTCCTTTTCAGCTCCCGAGGACTCCCCTCTTCCTGCAGGATCTTTATCCAAACTTTCCTGTGCAAACCAGTCACTTGGGGTTTTATTAAGGCAGGATTCTGCCCCTGTGAGCCTGGAGGTGGCTACATTAGTGACTGGCCTCCAGGGAATGGTAATGCTGTAGACCAGAGAGCATACTCAGGTGTAAGGCCTGAGAGTAGTGACTCTGGGGTTGTGGCTCTAGGATAGTCACCTGTCCATCATCTGGAAAGTGGTACTGCCCAGACTCATTGAACCAAATCCTGGCGTGAGTGCACCAGTTGCTTTAACCATTCTTCCAGGGCATCCTGATTTTGCAATCTTGGCTCTAAAGTCCTTCCTCCATGGTTGTCAGTGCTTTCTGCACAGCACAACCCTCTCCACCTCCTAGAGCCTTATGTGCCTGACCTCCTAAGTGAGTTGTTTTGAATGCTAGCTAAGCACTTTTCCAAATTCATTGTTAACTTTTTATTCTGAAATAATTTTTAGATTTCTAGCAGAATTACAGCTAGTGTAGAGGGTTCCTTACAAACCCATCACCTCTCTTTCCTTAATGTTAACATATTGTCTGTACATCAGTACATCAGCCTATCTGGACCTCTGTTCTTCAACTAGAAAAGTAGAGAGACTAGTGCCTGCCTTGTAGGGTTGCTGAGAGGATCAGGTAAGGTAAATACATAGTGTCCTTGGAGAAGGTAAACCACTCAGTAAGTGCTCAATAAGTATTTATTTATTTTTTGTCTTTGAGACAGGGTCTCCCTGTAGCCCCAGCTGGCCTGGAACTCACTTTGTAGACCAGGGTGGCCTCGAACTCACAGAGATCTGCCTGCCTCTGCCTCAACCACGCCCAGGTCTCAATAGGTATTTGTTAATAGCCCTTGTGGCAGACATAATTTCTAACCCCCTCCAGTCTTGCCTGCTTTCCACTTAAGAGGCTGAAAAAACGAGAGCTTGCTTCTCAGCCTCCCTTCTGGCTTTGTGGACATATGACATGAGTGGTGAAGGGAATCTTGGGGAGGGCTTCTGGAAGGTTTTTCTTTAGACATTGATCAGGACGTGGTTTGTGTTGCCACTTCCTTCCAGCAGGGGAGGCTGGTGTGTGGTTTGGGAATGTCTGGAACAATAGCAGCTATTTGTGACTTTGAGACAATAAACACAATATATTTTATTGAAGTGCTTGTGGACTGAATTATGTCCTTTCTCCCAGTTCTTTTATTTGTTTGCAGTTTATGCGTATGAATGTTTCGCCTGCCTGTATGTAAGTGTACTACATCTATGTAATGCCCATGGAAGCCAGAAGAGGGCTTTGGATCCCTTAGAACTGGAGTTATAGATGGTTGTTAGCTGCCATATGGATGCTGGGAATTGAATCCCAGTTTTCTGAGCCATCACTCCAGCCTCTCCACTGCACCTGCATACAGTTCTTAAGTGGAATCCTTACTTTCAGTGTGGCTATTTGATGATGGTTCCTTTGCTGGAGTAATGAAATCTAAACAAAGTCTTAAAGGTGATTGTTTTAATCCTGTAGGGTTTGGTGGCCTTACAAGAAGAGTAAGAGACACCAGAACCCCCTCTCCACCTGCACAGATGAAAGACATTTGAGACAGTGAGAAGGCAGCTGTTCACAGGTCTGGTAGAGGCCCCTCTGGGACCCATCCATGCTGTCCCTTGCAGGGCTTCCAGAACTGTGAGGAATTAATTTTTGTTGTTTAAAGCAACCTGTTTGGGGCATTTGGACATGGCAGTCTGAGCTAATACAGGCACCGAGCAGCCCCTGCCAGATACTGGGCAGCCCCCATGCCAGAATTTGGTGCCTGTTAGGACCATTGCCACACAGAACTCAGGGGTCTGCACTAAAGCTCATCACACATGTGGTGCAAAGCAGAAGGATTCCCATGGTAAAGGGCTCAGGTTCCATCTCAGTAGGACCTGAGTAAGGGACAGAGAAGTGGCTCGTTTTCATTGTGGTCAGGGGTGTCTCTATGGCTATTTTTGAGAGCAGACACAGGATATGTATCTACTATAGAAAGTGAGATTGGGGCGGGGTGGACAGGATTTTAGAACACAGGGAGGATCCCCATGCCCTGTAATCAAATCAATATGCCTGTGGCTTGGGGTGGCATCAGGAGGCTTCTGTAAGGTCTCAAGGATCCTGGCCATTTGTATTAGGTCTTTTAAATTTTTATTTCTTTTTTTGTAGCTGCTCTAGAAAATTCTCACAAACTTAGGAACTGGTGTACAAAACATAGATTCACTATCTCCTAGTCCAAAACTCCAGGCACTGGTCAGGCTGCAAGTTCTAATGGGGAATCTATTGCCAGGGCTCTCCTGGGTCTTGAGGCTGCCTGTAGTCCTGGTGGTGGCTGCATTGCTCCTTGCTTTCATTGTCATGTCTCTCCTTTGACTCTCCAACTCTCTCCAGAAAGAGTGTTGTGATAACTCTGGAGACACTTGTCTAACCCAGATGAATTTCCAACTGTCAAAAGCCTTGATAGAATCACATCTGCAAAGTGCTTTGACCATGTAGGCTGACATTTCTGGGTTCTGGGGACTAGGATGTAGACATCTCTAAGTCTTAGTCTGCCTCCCACACTGCTGATAGTTTTGTTTTGAGTGGAAGACAGCTATCAATAAATTATAAAAAAGCAATAATGTTAATAAAAATAGCTAGTACCAAGCACTGATTACATGTTTCCTCTCCATGGCTCCAGCTTTACTTATGTGACAGTTCTATATAGTGGAGGGAACAGCTTGATCTACTTTGGACAGTTGGATACACTGTGCACAGAAAGTGCAGGCCTCTGCTGGAGGCAGTCACAAGCCAGTAGTAGAGATAGGCTTTGAACCAAGGTGGTCTGTAGCCAGGACTTGGACTCAGCCCTTGCTTATATGCTGGAGTGGATGGCATGACCTGAACCTGGTCCTGCCCAGACCATCGGAGGTGGGGTCCTTTCTTCTTCCCATGGCCTCCTCAGCTTTGGGACCAATGAGTACCTGCAGAGGATGCAGCTGGGCAGGGCTCACCCAGGCCCTAGGCAGATGCCAGGACTCTTGGGCTACTGGATGCTGGAATGCGACCTTTCTAAGAACTCCCTGTAAGCAGAGTCAGTATTATCAGAAATGCAATTTTGCTTTCTAGGAAGATAGAGGCCATCTTGCTTTTTTTACTTCTTTCCCTTCCCGCAAATATTCAGGGAAGAAGAACAAGACTGATGGAATTAGGAGGAAACCACAACCATTCTGAAGGCTCGAATGCACTGAGTGAGTTCCAACTTGGAGTGGTTCTCATCCATACATCTGATGGCAGATGTGCCTGTGGCAGCCACTGATCCTTTCCCTCCTTCTGCTCTGGCTTTGGGTCTCTGGAAGTGGCCAGCATCACCACCCTGACTCAAGCAACTGGAGGTCAGGCCAGTCCTCCTAGGTCTGTCACCAGGTCTCTGAGCTGTAGCTTCTCTGCTGTGGAATGGCAGTGGCTAGCTGTCTGAAGGTGGCCTTTCTCCACAGGCTTTGGTGAATGTGAACGGACAGAGCTGCTTAAAGTGACAGGGAAAAGCAACACTAGAAACACAGTAGAACGCAGGATAGCAGTAGCAGCTTTGATCTCCATCTTCTACAAGCCATGGGGTAGATGCCCAGCCACCCTCTGACTACAGAGATGGCTTCTGGCATGGGCATGTGCTGCCAAGCAGACCTTCCATCTGGAGCTGTGGAGAGTGACTATCTCCTCTGGGGCACACCCCAGAGGGTAGCCATGGACTCTGCCTTTCCGCAGGCCAGATCCACCCTTCAGTTTTCAAGTATGTGAACCAATAAACCTGCAGTCTGCCAACCTGCAATCTGTCACTCCATATTTTGTCTAAATTTCTTTAAATTGGTTATCTGTTTTTGAACAGACGAAGTCCCTGCTTGTCATAGTATTACCCTGAGGGGCCGTGGATCCATGTTGGAAGATGGGGGCAGCCTAGAGAAGCCTAGAGAAGAATCCCTGTGTGGGGATAGAAAATGAAGATTCTGCAAGCTAGGGATTCCAGAGAGCCTGCAAGAGCAGACAGTTAAGTGGCCACACAGTCTCACTGTCCTTGCTGTTGAAATGAAAAACTGGGGCTATGGACTAGTGTGCTTTTTGTACCAGCTGAGACCCATGCCATGCCAGATACCAGCTTTGTATGGTGACCATGGCTGTTTTGTAATAACCTGGGGCGCGGGGCGATTAGAACTGGCCATTTGGCTGAAATAGGCTTAATCTTTCCTATTGATTCTGCTTGCTGCTGTCCACACAGGTGATCTCCAGAGAGCTGGTAGGAGCAATTTCCTTAATCACAGTATTACTTGATACAGACATCCCTGGGAGCAGTTAGCAAAAGGGCAGCCTCCCAAAGGTCTCCTCCCAGCACAGTGCACTAGTCTCTGTGTGTACCATTGTTTAGAGATTTCCAACAGGCCCATATTCATGGTTTTCAGATAATAGACTCACCCCTAATCTGTGGCCTGACTCTGCTTTTCAGTAAGGCCAAGTCCTTTGCTTTCTGCCTTGGTGACAGATCTCAAGTCCTAACTTCTCTGGGGAAATTCCCAAGACTACTGTGCCCCTGCTGACATGCCTCCCAACCCAGCTCTCCTGATCCTCTTCTCCATTACTGTCATCCATCCTTACCTGTCCCCTGCCTGTGCCATCCCCAGAGGCTAGGGCTTATGATACCTTTCTGTCTGGGCCTTCTATATCAGGACAGTCAAGGTTAAAAATCAGTCTTTCTTTCATGTGTGGCCGTCTACACCTGCCTCAGCCTCATGTGTGGCATACTTTCCCTTCAGTGCCAGTTTCTTGGATTTCAGGTCAGTCAGACATGGTGTTGCCTTGAAGGCCTCATACAGGAGCTGGCTTTGGTAAGATGGTTTCTGCTGGAAGGAGGAACAGTGATGTATTAGTTACTTTTGCTGTGGTAAAACACCACAACCAAAGCAACATAAAAGGAAGAGTTTATTTGGCTTATAGTTCCAGAGGGATAAGAGTCCATCATGGTGGGGAGGCATGGCAGGAAGCAGCAGAAACAGAAAGTTGAGAGCTCACATCTTCAAACACACAAAGGAAGCAGAGCGAGCAAGCTGGAAGTGGGGCAAGTATGTGAACTCTCAAAGCCCATCAACAGTGACATGCTTCCTCTAGATAGGTCACACCTCCTAAAGGTTTCATGACCTTCCCCAAATGACACCACCAGCTGGGGACCATATACCAAGTGTTCAAATTCTTGAGCCTATGGAGGACATGTCTCATTCAAGTCACCATAAGTAATAAACGGGCTTTATGATCCATGGGAGAGAAAGGGCTTTTGACATGTCCTAAGGACCAGTGGTGCCAGTTGTCAGCTCTACTAGGAAGAGAGATTTGAGTAAACAGTCTCTGTAGGATCAGATTGTCTCAGGACTTCATTTTGACCAAAGGGTGTGTATTCATTGTCCTATTCAGTGACCTATTAGCAGTCACTTACCCCAAAGCCAGGGATCTCCCTTTGACCTTCACAGTGTCCCCTCTGTACCCCACACACGACCTCCTTCTGTCTCTTCACACTGTCCCCTCTGTACCCCACACACGACCTCCTTCTGTCTCTTCACACTGTCCCCTCTGTACCCCACACATGACCTCCTTCTGTCTCTTCACACTGTCCTCTCTGTACCCCACACATGACCTCCTTCTGTCTCTTCACACTGTCCTCTCTGTACCCCACACATGACCTCCTTCTGTCTTTTCACATTGTCCCCTCTGTACCCTACACACGACCTCCTTCTGTCTCTTCACACTGTCCCCTCTGTACCCCACATGACCTCCTTCTGTCTCTTCACACTGTCCCCTCTGTACCCGACACATGACCTCCTTCTGTCTCTTCACCAACTCTCCTCTACTTTTCCACCCCTATATGGTTCAGACCTGGTCCCCCGTGGCCTCCTCACCTCCTTTCTTGACCCACCTTTCCCCTACTTCATTCCCTACCAAATTGCTCTTATTCAACTGACCTAAAGCCTGCTTGCCTACAGGCACATAGCCAAAACTCTAAGAATCAATTCTTTCAAAGACCATTTTGCCTGAACTTAAATATTCTTGAATTATTTGACCCCCCCCATTATGTCTTGCTGATTTCTTTTCATTTTAAAGATTTTTATAACCAGTTCATGAAAGATCATTTGACTTAATTTTGTATTTCTAATAAGTATTTATTACACACACAGCTTTTGTGAATGATTATTTTGTGTTTTTATGGATATCTTTTTCTTGGTTACCTGCTTTCATTAACTTTAAAGATAACCAATATTGTACTTAAAGACACTTTCCTCAAAATATAGCTGCCCTAGCAATAAGTATTCAAGACATTAATTATAATCAATTTTGTATGCACAGTGTCATTAAAGTTCCTTAACTAAGGGTACATTAATTTATGGTGGGGAAAATGGTATCAGTGTTGAGTTTTGTGGTGCATGCTGTTTCATGAATTATAGACCCTGATGGTTCTTGGGTGTCATACTGCAGGTTTGCTACATCTCCTTACAGCTAGTGACTGGAATAGAGTGTATTCTCAACTTGTGTGGACTGAGTGAATGAGGGGATGAGATGAAGACTCAGTACTGTCCTTTATTCCAAAGCAGTTCACCCCATGACTGAACTGTAACCAACTGCAGAAAGATGTTCACCTCAAGTTTTATACAGGGCACCTGTTGGAATGAAACAGACTGGCATTGAGAGAATGAGTGAATGCTACATCTCCTTACAGCTAGTGACTGGAATAGAGTGTATTCTCAACTTGTGTGGACTGAGTGAATGAGGGGATGAGATGAGGACTCAGTACTGTCCTTTATTCCAAAGCAGTTCACCCCATGACTGAACTGCTGCTAAAACAGATATGCCCCCTTATGGACACTGGAAATTCCAGAGACTGATCACTGCATCCTTTTATACAGAGCTGGGGTATGGCCCCAGAATCCTTCCTAACACAACATGCCAGTTCCCTGCCACTAATAGACTGGTGTGGCATGTGTGCTCCATTTTAGCTCTTCTCTCTAACTAGACCACTTTCTTTGCTGGGATGGACTTAGCGCTCTTATAAGTGAAAGGATAATGGCCTGGTTAACTTCTCCACCGTATCAGAACATTCCTGTCTTTCTGTGATGAGGAGGAGAGATCTCGGTCTTGTTGGGAGGCTCTGTGGTGACATTTCCTGGTTTGGAGGATGTTGCTACAAATGCTGTGTGGCTGTGCCTTCTGCAGGGAGTTTGATCTTCTGGGGTATGAGGATTCATCCTGAGTCATTTGCACTGGAGCCCAAAGGAGTTCTGAGTAAAAGCCCATCTCCTTCCATGGTGCCCAACTGCAGCTGTGGGGCTGGAGAAGATCACTGATGACAGCAACAGACCTGTGAGTGCTGACCAGCTGGCCACTTAGGGGACACCTACCCTCCCCTCTCTGATTTCTTACCTGTCAACTAAGGAGCCTGGGTTATATCAGTGGCTCCCAGAGAAGCTTCCCCAGAGGCTTCATGGAACGGTGTGGGCACATTTTTGGTTACCATAATGATTGGGAGAGTGCTATTGGCGTTGACTGCTGGGGTCATGGATGCCAGATGGCTCTCTAGGACAATACAGTCTCATTCAATAAAGAATTCTCCTGTGACCTGTGTAATTTTCCGACGCACCCTGGAATAAGCACACAGCAAAAGTCCTATTTATACTAAACAGAATCAACAATTTACCCATGTTTTGCACCTTCAGGCAAAACATTCTCTGTGTGGTTTTAACGCCTGTTGAATTTTCCAGGAATTCAAGGACCATGAGGGCTGGCTTGTTTCTTTGGAATCATTGCTCACCATTTTAGGAGGGCCACATGGAACCTGCATTTGAATGGCCAGTGCAATCCACCTGTACCAGTGTGCCTTGCTTCAGGGTGGTAAGGGGCATTACTAAACATTTGTTCATCAAAGGGTATGCTGGGTTTCATTAGACCAAAACCCACTAGTCTAAAGAGCCCCAAAGATCCTTTTGAACTCTGACCCCTTCTCAGTGAGAGTCAAAAGGAGATGCAGATGGCATGAAGAATGGAAAACAAGCAGCCACAGAACTAGTTTAAGGCAAACTAGTTCAAAATGCTCCCTAGTCCAGCGGTGTCCATTGCTGACACTGAGCACCAGTGTACAACCCAGGTATGGGAATGAAGACCTTCGCTCTGGACTCTGAGTCCAAATGGAATTCAGGATCAAAGCTCACTAGTTCTTATAACTGTGATTTTTTTATTGTTAAGTGTTTTACTATGATTTTTAAATTGTTGTTAATTGTTATAACCTGACTGAATGTGCCCCTGCCCCCAATTACAAATGTTGAAATCCCAATCTTCAGTGTAATGGTATTTGGATGTGGGGTCCTTATGGGAAGAAAAATGGTAATTAGGTCATGAGGTAGAGCCCCATCCATAGGATTAGTGTCCTTATAAGGAGAAAGAGATAAGGTCTATCAGCCTTGTAAGGATACAGGAGAAGGTAACTGTAAGTCAGGAGACTGGTCTCCACCAGATATTGATCTACTGGCACCTTGATCTTGGAACTCCGAGGCCTCAGAACTATGAGAAATACATATTTGTTGTTTCTTCTACCCACTCTATGGTATTTTTGTTAGAACAGCATTACCTTAAACAGCAAGGCACTTAACTCAAATATGTGTCCCCTGTATGTGGAAGCATTGCACATGGCTCCTTTTATTCCTGGTCTTCCCTCTTGCCTTGTTTGCATGATGCAATTTGAATGGAATTAAACTTGAACAGCTCCAAATTATATAATTAATTACATTCAACTTCAATTACAATCACTAATTGATCCAACCCTGCTAGCACAACACTTTCATTATTTGGCACACAATTATTGAGCGCCTACTTTGTGTTGAGAATAAAGGAGGAAATGGTCAATTTCTCTTGGGGAGGGAGAGTGGGGAAAGGTGGAATTGTCGAGAAAAGCTATCTAGGGACAGCTGGCTATGGTCAAGGATTTTGTGGGGAAAGAGGGAGATGGGGAAGTTCTTTTGGGCTCCCCACCAGTCACCCCTAAATGTATGTAAAAATCTTAAGTGGGCCACACTCTGGGATTAGGCAGGTTGGTCTTGGCACCAGATGATGCAGGCTGTACTCCAGGTCTCTCTGATTTCCTTTCATTGACTTAAATAATTAGTTAATAGACATAAACTGTGTGTGCTGGTGTGTGGCCACAGTCCCAAGCTACTCACAAGGTTGAGGCAAGAGGATCACTTGAGGTTGGAATTCAAACGCATTCTGGGCAACTTAGTGAGACCCTGCTCTCCCCGCCCCCAATAAAACAAATAGATACAATGAAGGTCTGCCACCCTGGTGCTCTTGATCTCCTCTCCAGTCTTCCTTATCCTAAGGATCTCTTATCTCCCCCCACCATCATGTCACCATCTTGTCTTGCTATCTAAACCTGAGCATGCCTTTGGATCCCTGAGAGTCTGCCAACAAGCTCCCAGCCGGCGTTGATGTTGCTGGATGGTGGAAGGCGTTTTGACGGTGTCAGGTGGTAGGGCCCTTCTTTAGCGGTTGTTCCTTATAAGGGGGAAGCCAGAACAGTTACTGAATGCTGATTCTCAGTTCATTTGGGATGCAATTACAAAACACCATGAACTTGGTGGCTTAAAGACTACAGACAGTTATTTCTCACTGTTCTAGAGGCTGAGAAGCCCAATGCCGGGGTTCCAGCAAATTTACTGGTGACAGCCTTCTTCCTGATTCATGAACTGTGATGTTCTCATATGATAGAAGTCAGTCTCCCTCTCCCTCGCTCTTTCCCTTTCCTTCTCTCTATTCCTCTCCCCTCCCCATCCCATTCTGGCCTGGAACTCAAACTCCCAGTGCTGGGATTATAAAGGTGCACCGTTGCCACTGCAGCTGGCTCTGAGGACTTTTTTTTTTATAAGTACATGAATACCAGTCATGAGGGAGGAGCAATCACTATTCAGAGGCCCTGCTTTCTAGTGCTGCCATGTTAGAAGTCAGGGTTTTAACATACTCTTGTGGGAGGATACAAACATTCAGACCATATCCCTGGACTTTGAAAATGGTGTCCTCCCATCACTTCCCAGATCGGGCCAGTTACTGTCTAATTGTCCTGGGGGAAGCACTTCCCTGCCCTGTCTTCTCTTTAGGGATCAGGGCATGCTTTCTTATTTTTTCTGGTAGTAGTTGTATTCAGTAGCTCACCAACTGAGTTCAGCTGTGACAAGAAAGATGATCTGTCCCAGAAGCAGGTTAGACATTTGTTAGGTGATTCATTTGTGTTGTACTTTCTGCCCAGTTTTGAGGACCCATGTCCTACAAAAAAAGAGGAGACACAGGAAGAAACAAAAGATGATGTGTGGAGTGGGAAAGGCAGGCTATTGTGTTGCTGTGTAGACAAACACATAGTATTAAAAGGTTATCAGCAGCCTCCATGGAGTGTGCTGTTCCAGAGCACACCCAGGGGTAGCTAGGGTGACTATCCATTTTATCGGGGATGGTGGGAGACTGATCAGCTTGAGAGTCAGAGGGCCTTCTGGGAATCGGCTCACTCAAAGCAGTGGAGAGAACTGTACTTACGGAGTCCTTCTGCCTTAGTCTCCCTGTTTGCTTCTGCTTTCCCCCTCATCCTTTGTCTCCCTCAACTTCCAATAAAACATAAGGGGGTGGCTCTTGGGCTTTCAAAAAGGTAAGAAGGATTGGTGGTTAGGCTGTTCCTCAGGGAAATGAGGAAGAGCTGCAGTCAAGGGTGTTGGCACCCCTTCTTCCTGCTCAGACTCCATAACATAAACAAGGAAGTACATTTGCTCACCCCTGTCCCCTTCCTGGGACCAAGTACCTCACAGTGAGGTAGAGGTCCTCCGAGATAACCTTGGAGCTATCCACTGGAAATTCAAGCCTGTTCAGCCAGGAGAGATTTCATCATTGCCTTTTCTGTCCACTTTTCTTGTGGATGACAGTCTATCCTGAGGGTTTCTGTGGAGAAGTGTCTATTTCTTGATGTGTCCAGCTATGAAAACATCCCCTTGGATGTCTGGGCCTCCATCAGTTGGAGCTACTGTTTACCTGTGCTAGAGAGTTGATCTGGTAAACCTCTAATACTGTATGTGCCTGGGTGGAGATTCTCATTTCTTTCCACTCAGCAGCTTCAGGTAGATACTTCATGACTTATGTGCACAGCAATCTGAGGGTCTGCTGTGCCAGAACCATGCTGGGGCGTGGTGAGGCTTTGAGCAGAAACCCATCCAAGCTGTGTGACTGTTTGTCTGGGGGCCTGTCCTGTAGTCATAAGTCTACATAGGTTGTTCTGTCAATCTATTTATCTATCATCTATATCTATCTATCTATCTATCTATCTATCTATCTATCTATATCTATCTATCTATCTATCTCATCTATCTATCTATCTATCTATCATCTATCTAATCTATCTATCTATCATCTATCTATCTATCTATCTATCATCTATCTATCATCTATCTATCATCTATCTATCATCTGTCACTTGTCCATATTACCTATCATCAATTTAGTTGAACTTGGGATGAGGTGGTGGCTGAAGAGTAGGTAGAAGAGGGAATTTTACTCATAGTGTTTTTCTCCCCAAGTCTTTGCTTATATTAAGCATACATTCCATTCTCTTAATTAAGATCCAAATATCTAGTTTTTAAAAAATATAATGCCAGTGACCCCTCCTCACCATCCTACCTTGACTTCTGCTTCTCACAATCTGATCCCTTCCCTTAGGTAAATGTGAAGAGAAGTCTGGCTTTGTTGCTGCTTGGTGGGTGGATGAGAGGTAAATGAAAAAGGAAATGGGGAGAGAGGAGGAAGGTCATCATAGAATAGTGAAAATGATTAATTGTCATAAATGTATAAAATCTTCCATTTGCTGAAGAATCTACAGTGAGGTGCTTTCAATTGTTCTGATTAGCGTGAGCCCCTGCTGCCCACAGATGCCTCCTTCTTGCTTCTTGCCTCATTCCTCTACTAGCGGCCACGCCCTGCTCCAATCTAGTAGGTCTGATTGTTTCTGTTTTCCTACTCTTTGAGGTATGCTTTGGATAGACCTTAGGTCTGTGGCTGACTGTCCCTTTTTGTGTTCCCCGAGTCTGTTTAGAACTCATGTGCTCACAGTGAAGCTCTTTGGGTTGAGGCTGGATGTGTGAGGAGGCTTGTACAAATTTTTATTTCCTCTTTCACTTAAAAAAAGGGGCCATTCAAGATTCCATCAGACAAGCGAGACCCCCCCCCTCCAAACAAGAGAGCATGTAACCCCTCCCCTGCCTGCTCTTTGCTATACTGTACTGGCAGAAAAAGGCTCCTTTTAACTAGGAATCATTAAACCATGCCAAGTCTCCTAAAATGAACAGGGACAATGAATAAACTCACACAGAGTTATTATCAAAATTAGAAAACTCCATCTAGAATGCCTCAACTGATAAAAACATGTCTCTGAATAAACCACCGTGAGGCAGAAGAAATCTGTAAAACACTGCTTCACACTGGATTAAACAGGCTCAGGTCAGCATGGGGGAATACAAAAGACCACCAGGAATAGAAATTCAAAACCTAAGAACAAAAATGGGCAAAACTAGGACCTTCCTGTATAGCTCTGACTTTCTGGATCATGTCAATGTTTCGCATATTCCAAAATAAATAATTTAAACCAGCTGGACTGTGGAGGAAGCCAAATGGGATCCAAACAACAACAAATGAACCTTACTCTACAACTGGATAATACAAACACACTGAAGGTGTGGGGAGGGGTAGCTTGGGAAAACACAATTTGCCAATGTATTCTAAAACTACAGATAAAGAACTATACATAAGTATTATAGTTAATAAATTGATTTTGGACAGGGGGCTTGGGTTAGCAATGTTGAAGCCATTAGGATTGAACAAATAAACACATGGGTAAAGGAAACTAGGTTCCTCATTTTCTGTCTTGTTAGACACCCTTTCTTCTATTTTTTATTGAGCTTTTGTAATTTCATACAACAGTTCTTAATCAAATTTAGACCCCCTCCCCCATCCATGCCTCCCCCATCCCCCCACTGGACCTCCTGTCCTCCGTCTTACATGTTAAGTCCTATCCGGTCAGTGTAAATTCGTCTACTGGAGTCTAGCTAGTCCATTGAGATCATATATAAGGCATACTCTCCCTCACCTAGTAGCAATCAGTATTCAGTAGTTCTCAATCTAGTGCTGGCCTGCCACCCATTTCTTTCCCCCCCTTTGGGCTCTTGTTTGAGTTGGCATGGGTCCTGTGCTTGATGCCACTATTGCCACAAGTTCACATGTTCAAGCTTCCAGTGACCTGAAAGCCTCTGCTTCCCTGTGTTTATGAAATAGCCCTGGCTCTTACAGTCTTTCCGCCCCCTGTTCCGCAATGATCCCTGAGCTGTGGGCAGGTGAGGTTCCATATAGGAGTCCTATCCTACACTCTGCAGTCTCTTGTTCTTTAAAACTTGGCCAGTTGTGGCCGTCTGTGTGCATCACACTCTGTTGCTTAAGGAAGCTTTACTGGTGAGAGTTGAGGGGTGTATTAGTTTTCTCTCTACCCCTTGTTTTGCTGTGTTTCACGAGCCTTAGTTATAGAGGTTCAACTGTAGATGTGTCACCTAGTACTGGGCATCTCTCAGACGTATGTTCTCTGTGTCTGACCAGTTGTGCAATTTTGCAGTAGCCTCCATCTGTCAAACAAAGGAGTTTCTTTGATGATTGGTGTACAGTATGCTTGTCTGTAAATATAAG